ACACACACACACACACACACACACAAACACACACACACAAACACACACACACACACACACACACACACACACACACACACACGCGCGCGCGCGCGCGCGCACGCGCGCACGCAGCCGCACCTGGACGGCGCAGCGGCATGGAAATACTGCGAACTCCCACGCGCAAGGAACAAATCGTTGAAAAACGAAGACGCCATGCAAGGGGAAAGGTCTGTAATCACCAGCTGCCACTGTACTTGGTGACCCGCTGTTCAGTTACCTGCATGCGATAAGCGCCAAGGGAAACGGGAGGAGGGGGGAGGAGAGAAGAAGAGGAGAGCAGGCAGTCAGCTAGAGGGCGCAGTGTTTCCTGACTGACGCGTGACGTAGGATGTGGCAGAGACTGTCGCGTGGCAGGGTCGTTGCCCGCCAGTGCTAGGGCCTCAACGCGCAGGTGCGTCGTCCATTGTATCCGGGGGCGCCGTCTCGATCGCCGGGACTTACAGCTCCGAGATCAACAAATATTTGCCTGGCCAGTTTCGAACGTCATTGTTCTCGGTAAAGTGTCGGCGCTGTCCTGGGCCATTTTGGCATGTAACTTGAACTGCCTTTCCAAAAAAAATCGATGTCAAAGGTGGGGCGCACGCACGCTCACGTACTTCAGCGTTGCGAACGCGCGAGAACCGGGCAGGGAGAATTTGTGAATGCAGCTTCGTCGTAGGCATCTAGCCTGGAAACCATATATCCGATCACTGTCTGCTTTGAGGAGCATGCACGATTCAAGCCCATAAAACAAGTTGTAGAACACATACATACACGCACACACGATTCCAAAATGTGTGTGATTTCGTTTTCTGGTCTGGTTGGAAGGATTCCACACAATTTCCCCCAAGCGCCGTGTAAGCTCTGCCCGTGGCCTCCCATCTGTACTTACCAAGCCACTAGAATAAACAGCATGGTCGATGACCGCGATTGCTGTACCACCTGGTCCAACAATGTTTCCAAATGTTGGCATCCAGCTTAATACCGTGTTGTCTGTGTTGAGCTCCAAACCACATCTTGCCACTTTCGAGCACCGCTCTATATGCGCTTGAAGAGTACTTGGGTCCATGGCCACGAGAATCGTGTCGTCTGCGTAAAGAACATCCTCCATGGCCACATATGGTTTGGAATTGTCTGCAGGGTCTTTCCCACTTCAAGCGTCGATATGCAATCTCTTGGCATTACACATAATGATGGAGTACGGGTACGGAGGACAGCCATGCGCAATCCCAACGGACTGTGTCCATATAGAAGACGTCGCGCCCCCATCTTGCACTGTAAACTTACGCTGTTTGCAGATGCGCAGGACCATCTCGACCATCGCAGCTGGCACCCCAAATTGTTGCAGTGCTTGTACAAGACCAGTTGAGCTTATCCAGCCAAATGCTTTACTCCAATCCGAAACTAACGGCAATAACTGCCAATCCTTGCCTTCCAGCGCTGCGTCAATCAGCCTACGCACCAAGAACAATGCCTCGCTAGTCCCGCGATGTGGTCTGAAGACGCATTGAGATTCCCGCAATGCCTTTTCAGACCCTCCGCGTTTGATTCGTTGTAGCAATATGCTACGGCCTGTACTTCGCAGGCAAGGGGGTGCCACCTCTCTTGACTATGATTACAATGGATGCTTCTCTCCACTCTTCGGGTATGTCTTCCTTTACCCAGCAAGCAGTACATAAAGACGTCACGATTTCTAGAGCATCGCTGCCTTCCAATAACGGTTTCCCTAATTCAGGTGGCACTCCGTCGGACCCTACAGCTCGCTGCATTCGAAGATGTTTGAATGCTTGCCTCGTGTCTACTGGTTGGATCTGGCCCACGTCAATAGGCAGTTCTGTTCGTATATCGGATGGCTGCGGCAATGAATCATCTTCTTGAGATGGTCACCATTTCACCGTCGCCGAATACGTGGCCGTCGTCTCAGCCCGGTCCGCAGAATCCACCAAATTCCCTTCTGTATTTTTGAGACGCCCACATTGGCGAGAAGCAGGTCTGCGTAGTTGCTTTATTGTTTCCCATCCGTTCGCTTGAATGTTCTGTGTGAGTCAATGCTGCTTGTGGACCTTCGCGGATTCCTTGATCGCTCTGTTGAGGGTCTTGGTGCCGGTACCGCCCTGTCGTGATTTGTTGCGCTCTTCGATGAGGTCGACAGTACGTGTGGACCTCCCAGGGGGGCAGCGAGGTCCCAAACGGGTCAGCCCACGAGCAGCGAGGCCTCGTCTGGGTGCCCGTGGCCCCCGACCCTGCTGGACCTCCCAGGAGCCTACGAAAGTAATTAGCGACAGGTGTGCTGTTCGCAGCCTCCCAAGGGAGCTGCGAGGTCCGCAATGGATCCGCGTACTCCCCGACACCGCTGGACCTCTCAGGAGCCCACGACAGTGGCGACAGTTGCGCAGTGCGCAACCCCCCAGGGAGCTGCAAGGTCCCGTCTGGATCCGCGTGGCCCCCGACTCCGCCGTGCCTCCCAGGAGCCCACGAAAGCGGCGACAGCAGCGCAGTTCGCAAATACCCAGGGCGCAGCGTGGTCCCCGACTCCGCTGGACCTCCCAGGAGCCCACGAAAATGGCGCAAGGTGCACACTCCGCCGTGCCCCCCGGTAGCCCACGACAGCGGCGACAGTTGCGCTGCTCACAGCCACCCAGGGAGCACCGCAGGAGGATCAAGGGACGAGGAAGGCGGGAGGAGGTGAACATCAGAGTGCTCTACAGTAGTAGGAGCTCGACCACACGTACTTTGCAAACAAACCCAACCCGAGACCCCAGGACGTCATTTTTGGTGTGGGAACGTCACGCTTCCCGTGGCAAAACCATCCAATACCAAGAAACCCAGAACACCCTGGAGGCAAGCAGGGTGTTTCTTGGCATGGGTCTCCACTGTATTCTAAACGAGAAACCCATCGCAGGAGGGGTGGGAAAAAATAACCACAGATCCGCGCTCTCGAATCATACCAGGGCGGCCGAGGCAGGCCACCTTCAAGGCCGCCAAGAGGGCGCAAGACGCCTCCAGGGCGGCCCAAGGTGGCGACAAGACGGCCCAAAGAGGGCCACAAGAGGACTCCCAGTCCGAAGACGCCAAAGTCTGTTTCCCCTCGGGTGTTGGACAGATGGTGTCGGAGGAGGCAAAGGTACCCATACCGCTACCCTTCCCTCGTTTTCCCCCTTTGGGGCCTCCTGGGAGGCCCTCGTCGCCAGAGCTGGATTCGCTTCTAAATTCTGGTCAGAAGGCACCCCGGGAAAGGTCCAGGGAGTAGCCGTATCAGTTTTGGTTTCCCGTTTTGGCTGCCTTCAGCTCAAGATGGCCCTAAAGGCCTTCGGGCGGCCTCAGGACGACAAGAAAGCCCGCAGACGGCCCAAGACGGCACCCAAAGAACCCCAAGCTGCCCAGAAGGGCCTCTGGAGGGACCCGAGACGGCCCATGAGAATGTCCCTCGACGGCCGCACGACGGTCCCACGACTGCCTCAAGAGACATCCCATACGGACAAGAGGGCCCCAAGACGGCACGAAAAGCCCCAAGACACCCAAGCGGGCCCCAAGGGACCGCCAAGGCTACCCCATAGAAGCCCAAGACAGCCCCGATAAGCCACATGAAAAATCCTCAAGAGATGCGGAGCACAGGTGTGATGTGTGACTGCCTTCTGGGCGGTGCTCAACGTGCTACCACACAGGGTGCTGCGCTGACACGGTGGCAGGCCTTGCCGCAGGCACGTCGATGCTGAACGGCAGCCCCCCCCAGGATTCACGACGGCTCTTCAAGTGACCACAAAGCAAACGAAAGACATCCTGACCATCACGCCTCGTAAGAGAAGCACGAGAGGGTCACTGGGCACGAGGGGCCACGGGCAGTGGGACAATTGAATAATCGGCATCCCCGTCAGAAGGTCAAGAGGAAGAAACGAGACACCAGGGGCAGCAGCGGTGGCAACGGGATTGAGAGTTGCGATGGGGACGGAGACGGGGATGAGCACGTGGACGGGAATGAGGACGAGAGCAAGAGTTGGGACGAGGGCGAGGGAAGGACTGGGAAGTGGGAGTGGGATCGGGCACCGAGGCCGAGAACGGGGACGGGAAGCGAGCGAGTGGAGCGAGGGGCGGGGAGGCAGGCAGCGCGGACACGAGGCAGGGGGACCCCCCGTCCACGGCGCCCCCGCACGCCCCGAGGCGCGGAGGAGGGGCGGAGGCGGCAGCCCCCCCGGGAACGAACCGCGAGAGAGGAGAGCGGCACGGATCCGACGGGCCCTGGAGAACGGAACGGGGCGGAGTGCAGTCAACCCGCGGAGTAAGGATGCACGATAAGGACGCCAGGGCCTTGGAAAGCCGTGTTGGCGTTTTCCCAGCGGAGCGCCGCCGAATACCGAAGAATACCAGAGAAAGTTGCCAGGGATGGACCGAAGGGGCAAGGATGCAACTCCGCGGGTTGACTGTGCCCCGACGGGGAGAGTGCGCAGCACCAAATTGCGAGCTCGGGCTCGAGCTGCTTGCCTCTACGAGAGGCTTTCTCATCCCGAGTTCTCGGAAGAAGCGTCGCCACGCGGACCTTCTGGGAGGGGGCTGCCCCGGTGGCCGGAGGAGTATGTACCACCGCAGAGTCGGACGCAACCGAACCGCTGCTACGAGAAGGAGTCTCCAGAACACAACGTGGGGGGGCGGCGAGAGCATGGTGATGGGGGAGGGGGAGGGGAAAGGGGAGGGGAAGGGGGAGGCACGGAGGGGCAAAGGGATGGAGGACGAGGCGGGGGAAGGAAGCGCAGGATCAGGAGAAAGAGCCCCAGTACAACCGCCCTCTTGATCCCTCCCTCCTCCTCCCCCTCCCTCCGCCCACCCATTCTCCTCCTCCTCCCCCTCCTCCTGCTCCTCCGCCTGCTCCTCCTCCTCCGCCCACTCCTACTCCTCATTTTCCTCCTCCTCCTCCTCCTCCTCCTCCTCCTCCTCCTCCTCCTCCTCCTGCTCCACCTCCTCAAAAAAAGGCAAGGGCTGCAGTCCTCCTTGGGGGCCTCCTTGGGGGCCTCCTTGGGAGGCTCCGGCTTGGGCTCCTGCGCGAGCCGCCGGACGCTACTCCACTCACGCTTCCCTCCTGCTCATCTCGTATGTGTGGCTCTGCGTGGGCGCTGGACTTCAGCCCGCCTGTCTGTGGAGGGAGGGAGGGAGGGAGGGAGGGAGGGAGGGAGGGAGGGAGGGGAGGGAGGGAGGGAGGGAGGGGAGGGCGCGAGGGAGGGAGGGAGGGAGAGCCCTGTGCGACAGCGACAGCAGACGTCCCAACAGCTGCACAGAAGAAGGGGTGCACCGCCCGAGACGGCAGTGGGGGACGGCAAAGGGCACCGCAACAGGCCTGCTGGAAGGCCTGGCTGCGTGGAGCTGGCACTGAAAGGGTGCACCCATTTTCGAGCACGAGGTAGACATCATCCTCATCGATCGTCTCATCTTCCTCTCCGTCTCCTCCTCACTCATCTTCCTCATCCTCCCTCCTTCTCCTTCCATGTCCTCCTCCTCATCTTCCTCCTCCTCGCCCTCCTCCTCCTCCTCATCATCATCAGTATTGCTCCTCCTCCTCCTCCTCCTCCTCCTCCTCATTAGTATTAGTATTAACAATATTTATTATTTTATTATTCTAAGTATTATTATTAATAGTAGTATTAGTAGTATGAGTATTATTATTATTAGTATTATTAGTACGATTAGTAGTATTATTATCATTATTATTATTAGCAGTACTATTAATATTGTTAATACTAGTATTACTATCATTAGTATTACTGATAGTACTACTATTATTATTCATAGTCTTATTAGTGTGGTGGTGGTGGTGGTGGTGGTGGTGGTGGTGGTGGTGTGGTGGTGGTGGTGGTGGTGGTGGTGGTGGTGGTGGTGGTGGTGGTGGTGGTGGTGGTGGTGGTGGTAGTAGTAGTAGTAGTAGGAGTAGTACTAGGAGTAGTAGTAGTAGTAGTAGTAGTAGTAGGAGTAGTAGTAGTAGTAGTAGTAGTAGCATTATGATTAGTAGTAGTAGTAGTAGTAAAATTCGTTAGTATTATTATTATTCATACTATTATTAATAGAATCAGGATTATCATCATCAACATTATTATTAAAATTATTACCACTTTTATGATTAGTAATATGATCACTATTATTTTTATTATTACTAGTATTGTTCCTCCTCGTCCCTCCCCTCTCTCCCTCCATCTATGCCTCCTCCTCCTCCTTCTCCTCCTCCTCCTCCTCCGTTCTGCGGCTCCTCCTCTTCGTGTTCTAGCAGCTTCTCGTGCGAGGCATCTGCAGTGCGGTATTATGTCGCCCGGCGGAGAGGGCAAGATCACCACTGGAACTACCAGCGAAGCGATGGGACCACTTCTGGAGTTACCAGCGGAGGTGAGCGCCACTGTAACTTCTGGCGGAGCGCAACTCCCGAGCGGCGAAATATCCGTATCCGCGCCCTCGCGGTCCCGATTCCCGGGCGCGATCCCGCAAATACGCGGTCGCACATATACATCACGCGCGGAACATGAGGGAAAAATGTCCCGTATCCGCGGGGTCGTGGCCCAGGGGCCCCGCCTGGAGGCCGCGGATACAGATAGATGTTTCGCCGACGAGCAGCTCGGCGATGACAGGTACTCGACGCTGCATTACTTGGGGAGGGCTTGCAACGACATAAAAATCGTTGATGCGAATATCCTTCACAGCCAGCCTGGAGTCATAGCTGTGTACATCGAGTTCTTGCTGGCCAGAGCTACACGTAAGAGTACTTGACCAGCGTATGCCAGGCCATCACGTTCAGTTGATGGTGTTCGTCTGCAATGTGCAACACAGCTGGCACTTTTTGGAGGTATCCCGTGTCATCGACAACGGAGTTGTTCATGTCGGTGTTCGATTTGCGAGCGCTCCCGGGGGCATTTCGTATCGTCTTCCATGCTGCTTAGGACACGGGTGCCCGACGCACCAACTCCGTGTCATCGCATGGCCGCGACACGCGCAGATTCCGTGACATTGGGTGTGCCGAAAAAAGCCGCGAGTGACGTCCTCCACGGCTTCAGAGAAGCTGACGTCGCCTACCCTGGAGCCGTCCACATCGTGCCATGCAGCTGGGGTCGACAGCGGGGGCAAAAGCACGTGACAGCAAATATGCTGGCCTGGATTCACAGTCGTGCAGCGGTTGTTCTGCAGACCTGAGCTTCGTGACCTCGCACTTGCACTCATGATGCCATCGCAAGTGTTCGTGTCGTGATGCACTTCTTCCTTGTTGTTCCTCCCATATCCTCCGTCCACTTGGCTGCACTTGTATTCCACATGTTCCACAGGCCAGCTGATGTATTTGCCTGTTAGTCCGCACTGTCCTTCGTCGCTGTCAAAAGAACGCGCTGCTTCGTTTCAGTGGCTGCGCCATTCCGCCGCCCCCCGCCCTCGGGTCCGTGCTGGGCGGCCCTGGCGCCTCATGGCAAGCTCGGGAGTCTCAGGGCTGGGTACACTCCCTTCGCTGGAGGGGTGGCGGTCGGAAGAAGAATTGCCCCCCCCCCCCTGGCAGTCGGGGTAGGAGCTTTCAGCAGAACGGCGCGCAGACTGCGGCAATGCCGAGTCCGACCGACTGGCCGACCGTGTCCTCATCCTGCTGCCCCTCCGCCATGCCTTCTCCCTCAAGGCACCTCCTCCTCGTCCCACAATGATCCTCGTCCTCGTCCTCGTCCTCCTCCTCTTCCTCCTCCTCCTTCTCCTCCTCATCTTGATCATCAACCTCAGTATCAAATCAGATTCACCTCGTCCATATCCTCCCCCCGTCCCCGTGTTCCTGTAGTCCTCCCTCCTCCAACTCCCCGGTCCTCGTCCTCACTGTCTTCCTCCCCCCACTCTACTCCCCCCCCTAATCCTCTTTCTCCATGTGATTACATCCCTCCCCCCCGACCCCTCCCTCCCGTCCCTGTCCCCCCGTCCTTGTCCCCCCCCCCCCCCGCGTGCCCCTCTTCTGTCCCCCCCACCCGCGTGCCTCCTCCTTGTCCCCCAACGGGCGAGGAGCCGCCTCCCTTCGGCCCACCCGTCCCCCTCCCTCAAGAGACCGAAACGACACTCAGACACAAAGAATCGCCGATTCCCATGAAAACATGGAGAATGGGGGGGCTTGGAGGGGAAGACGAGCATCCAGAAAAACTATCGACAATGTTGGGGATCCTGGGATTTGTGCCCCTTCCTCACCGTTGCCTCCTCGCTCGCACTCAAGCTCTCAGCGTCCTGACCGCTCCTCGGCGGAGGAATGCATGCGGCCGGATCGACGGGCGAGTGCCCCGAGGCCCAGGGCGGGAGCCCGGGGAGGCCTTCTTCCACGGCGGTTCACACGATGCCTGGGACGACCTGATCGTTGCCGAATCGCGGGCATCGCCCTGTCCTCCAGGTCAGGATCCTCCTCCTCCTCCTCCTCCTCCTCCTCCTCATCATCATCATCATCATCATCATCATCATCATCATCATCATCATCATCATCAACATCATCAGCATCATCATCATCATCATCATCATCATCATCATCATCATCATCATCATCATCATCCTCTTCTTAGCAATACTCATATAAGTTTTGTTAATCATATTCTACGTAGTAGTACTAGTTGTCTTTTTTCGTTTTCGCAGTAGTGTCTTTATTATTAGTGTCAATAAGATTCGCCTTATTATTCGTATTACTATTAGTACGACTAGTAGCCTCATCAGTACTAGCATGGTGACTATCATTGGTAGTAG